AAAATGCGTGTACTGTCAACAGTGTTCAAAATATTGAAACCATGCACTGTGTATTGCAAAATGTGCGTACTGTCAACAGTGTTCAAAATATTGAAACCATGCACCATGGCATTACAAAATGTGTATACTGTGAACAGTGTTCAAAATATTGAAACCATGCGCTGTGGCATTACAAAATGTGCGTACTGTCTACAGTGTTCAAAATAATGAAGCCATGCACTGTGGCATTACAAAATGTGTGTACTGTCTACAGTGTTCAAAATATTCAACCATGCACTGTGGCATTACAAAATGTGTGTACTGTCTACAGTGTTCAAAATATTCAACCATGCACTGTGGCATTACAAAATGTGTATACTGTCAACAGTGTTCAAAATATTAACCATGCACTGTGGCATTACAAAATGTGTTTACTAATTCAACAGTGTTCAAAATATTGAACCATGCACCATTGCATTACAAAATATGCATACTGTCAACAGTGTTCAAAATATTGAAACCATGCACCATGGCATTACAAAATGTGTATCCTGTCGATAGTGTTCAAAATATTGAAACCATGCACTGTGGCATTACAAAATGTGCGTACTGTCAACAGTGTTCAAAATATTGAACCATGCACTGTGGCATTACAAAATGTGTATACTGTCTACAGTGTTCAAAATATTGAAACCATGCACTGTGGCATTACAAAATGAGTGTACTGTCAACAGTGTTCAAAATATTGAACCATGCACTGTGGCATTACAAAATGTGTGTATTGTCTACAGTGTTCAAAATATTGAAGCCATGCACTGTGGCATTACAAAATGTGTGTACTGTCTACAGTGTTCAAAATATTCAACCATGCACTGTGGCATTACAAAATGTGTGTACTGTCTACAGTGTTCAAAATATTGAAACCATGCACTGTGGCATTACAAAATGTGTGTACTGTCAACAGTGTTCAAAATATTGAAGCCATGCACTGTGGCATTACAAAATGTGTGTACTGTCTAGTGTTCAAAATATTCAACCATGCACTGTGGCATTACAAAATGTGTGAACTATTCAACAGTGTCCAAATATTGAACCATGCACTGTGGCATTACAAAATGTGTGTTCTGTCAACAGTGTTCAAAATATTGAAACCATGCACCGTGGATTACAAAATGTGTGTACTGTCAACAGTGTTCAAAATATTGAAACCATGCACTGTGGATTACAAAATGTGTGAACTATTCAACAGTGTTCAAAATATTGAAAAATGCACTGTGGCATTAC